TATATAGCCCATATATGGCAGTGCCACCCCGGGGTGAATTGACTGGAAACATGAAGAGCGAGGCTTGGTGGTTAACAACAGGCCCACAACTCGTGCACAACGTTCAAACCAAGGAAGGGGACGCCTGGTGACTTAAGAGACCCTTTCATATTTAAATCAATTACTGCATTTGAGATTCATCTGCGAAACATGTACTTATTTCTCCGACATAGGCATCACTAAGTTAAAAGATTACCTGAACACCAAGCATTGAACAAGATACAGATCTGCTCTTCATGTTTATATCGAAACAAAGATTCCTCTCCAGAAGCCTCCTTGCGTTTAGTTTCAATGAACACCTCGTATCGACCAATGATGGCTTTTGCAAATGACATGATTGATAGGTGGACAGTGCTTCCACTGGCTTCCTTGACCTGCATTCCCCAGTGTTTTGGGGAAAGACTTTCTCCAACTCCAACTCGAACAATAGATCCTTTACTTTCCTGAGGTCGTTTACCTGAAAGAGGTACAATAAAACATGGAGATTTTTCTTATCGGTCACCAGTTAGCTATCATAACTATCGAAGTGTAATTTTAAAAAAAACAGACGTAACTAAAAAATATAACCTTATTTACCCTCGGCAATGTTTATAGCATAAGTGTTAGTGGGGCCGAGCAGACAATTGAAACAAATAATTCAAATTGAACATAACATCGTTAAGACTGGCCGGAGGAAAACCAGTTGGTTATTTACAAGCGTGGCCGAGGATTTGAACTCGGGACCACCGAGAAACAAATCCAGGTAGTGGTCAGAGCGGGACTCGAACCCGGGACCGCTAGATTACTAATCCGACACGCTGACCACTCGGCCACGCTGCCTCCTACGTAACTAATCGATGACATCAAATAAATCAATTACTGTTCAATGGGTAAGGTAAAGGTAAACTCTGCATACGAGCCAAGTGACCCATCAGGTCGGAAGTTATCCCAGTTTCTGTAGCACGAAGCGACTATCAATATTTCTACTCCCACCTGAATGGGATGCTAGTCCATCGCAGAGTTACCCGCAGCATTAAATTTGCCGGTACTCATTTATACACCTGGGTGGAGAGAGGCACTGTGACCGTAAAGTGTCTTGCCCAAGAACACAGCACAATGATCTCGGCCAGGACTCGAACCCGGACCTCTCAATCCGCAGTCGAGCGCATTAACCATGAGGCCACCGCGCCTCTGGGTAATCGATGGGTAATCAGTTGATTGTTTTATTTCCGATGATCAATTGGCGAATAAATCGATAGATCACAACACTTCTGGTCATCGATTACTTATCGATTACTCATCGATTACTCATCGCTAATAATCCATGACTAATCATAACAATTACAATTTCCTCAAAGGTGATTGGTGCATAAACCGCTGTATTTTGCCCTAATTAATCTGGAAAGTTGTAATCGGGCAGTTAATCGGACAACTGTAATCGGACAGTTACATGACCCAATCATTTTAAGTCCTCTCCACTAAATCCACCAATCACAACATTGATTACAATCACTGTAGTAACCGATTCAAGAGACTGACTTTGTAAAATTCTGGAGGCGAGTTTAGTCTCCGGTGACTGTTTTGAAAGTAAATAACAGCCATTTTGCAAGCTTTTCTCCATATTTTTAATTATGATATTTAAAAATGACTATTAAAATTGTAATTGTTATGATTAATTGGTAACAGGATTCGTGATTAACAAATCGGACTCCTGCTTCGCGGTCGTCCGATTTCGTTAATCACTCGTATGATTACAGACCGAATTACCATTATTAATCAGTTGATTACTCATTGATTACCGATCGATAACTCATTGATGTCATTGATCATCGGTTAGTCACGTCTGGAAGGAAGCAAACCAAATAAAGAATACACGAAACCTGTTACAAACTGAACCACAAGGATGTCATTCTCCTGATCGTAGTCTCTGTTGAACGTCACCGTGACGTCAAACGCCTGTCCCCTTCTAAGTATCAGTTCTTGTATCTCGTAGTCATCTGTTTTATGGGCCTCCCTGTTTTCCTTTTTGTGAAGCTCAACTGTCACAGGTTTTAACTGGGAGAATGCAGCTAAAAAAATATATAAAAGACATTGTTTTAAGATTGTGCGGACGGCAAGATCTTTGTAGCGGATGGATATGTGTATGTGTGTGTGCATGATCAACTTTTTGTGTGATGTGAAAAACTTTGATATACGCAACAAACAAACTTAGTGTGTAGTGCACATAAACCCTCGGGGAAGTACTCATCATGCCTATAATAAACTATAATAGTTATAAAGGCTCCAACGGGTCTGGTATTTTAGTCGTGTTGGTTTGAAAACAGGGCTTGTTTTCCCCTATGACCTGGAATTTGGTATGCGGTTCCGATGAAAACTATATTTAGAAATTTGAAGCCATTGCACAAAAGCTAATGTCTCGCATTTGAGAAGTGCATTAATTTTAGAGGCTTTAAATAGAGACGGTAATCTTTGGATCCTATCTGAAATTGACTACATAACGAGAAACATATATTTTGGTCCGAAATAGGGTAAGGCTTTCAACAGACACGCTGTGCGGCCCCATCGAAAATTTTAGAGAGTGCTTGAGATCTACCTGGACATACGATCACCAAACCAATGAAACGTTAAGTGAAAACGTCTTGAGTGTCGAGGTCTACTGAACACGAAGGATAAACGCGCTCGAGCGTTGTTTTTTGTTTTTTGTTTTTTGTTTTTTGTTTTGTTTTGTTTTGTTTTGTTTTGCTTTTGTTTTTTTGGTTTTTGTTTTTGTTTTTGTTTTTGTTTTTGTTTTTGTTCTAGTTCTTGTGCTTGTTCTCTTTTTCCTTTTTGGAGTATGTTTTTTTATTATTTTTTGTTTTTGTTTTTCACGATCTTAAGCAGCCCCACTAAAAGCAATAACTGTCACATGATGAGTGACACAGCAAGCCCTGAATCAAACTACGAATTGACGGTGAATTCCATTAACCTGCGGGAATAAAATGCACTATTCAATCTGGTATTCTCGTGAAAAATCAATTTCTTTTTAAGATCCAGCCGTACCTTCCTCGTCTACTCCATTGTCAATCCTCAGGGCATTATTTCTTTCTCGAAACTCTTTATCGGGTAGTCGATTGACTCGTCCTTCTAATCCCTCCCCGAGTCTCGACCTACCACTGCTGCTTGAATCCTCCCTTTAAGAAACAAAATAATCGTATTACAAGACTACCTGTGTGCAGTTATTTAACCTCATAATTCTTAATAACGTTGTCAGCATGTCAAACATTCGATTAATGCTGTAGTGGCCTGATGGTAGAGACGAAGAAAGTTTACTGTACGAACTTGTAAAACCGATGTCCAATCAACAGAGTTAGAAGGGTATGAGATTACAATTTAGTCATGCATTTGCACTTGACACTAAAACAGAACGGGCAGGACTTTTGATCCTTTCCAACCAATGACACGTCATTCCTTTCATTATTTAGGTGTTGGTTTAGTACACTTGTTGACTTATTGTTACGTTGACTTAATCGGGGAAGGAAGAGATTCACGAGTTACCTCTGACGTAGGAACGAGAAATTATAACACATCTACAATCAAGGGAGCAAATTCAACAAAAAGATAGCATACGGTAACGGCTGTGCTTCGTCTGTCGATGGCCCGTTTTGTTCGTTTGTGCTGAAAATAACAATTAAGAATGAGATACTATTAGTTAGTTTACCCTGGAGCTCACAGATTCTGGATAACACTACTATGATAAAAACGCATCTACAATCTAAGAAGCAAATTCAACAAAAAGATGGCATACGGTAACGGCTGTGCTTCGTCTGTCGGTGGCCCGTTTTGATCGTTTGTGCTGAAAATAACAATCAAGAACGAGATACTATTAGTTAGTTTACCCTGGAGCTTACAGACACTGGATAACACTACAACGACAAAAACATATCTACAAAGTAAGAAGCAAATTCGACAAAAAGATGACATACGGTAACGGCCGTGCTTCGTCTATCGGTGGTCCGTTTTGCTCATTTGTGCTGAAAATAAGAATACGAAATGAGGTTACTATTAGCTAGTGCCCTGGAGCACACAGACACTGGATAACACGACTGGGATGATAACACATCTACAAGCTAAGAAGTAAATTCAACAAAAAGATGGCATACCTTAACGGCCGTGCTTCGTCTGTCGGTGGTCCGTTTTGTTCATTTG